ATATAGTCAGTGTTCATAATTATAGGAAGCTGAGATTGTCAGTTGTCAGTCAGGGAATTAAATGATTAAGTACATATCTTAGCACAGAATTGCCTGTTCATCCATTGTTGATGCTCCATTATTTTAATTTTTGTTGTGAAGTGCTATGTCCTTACTGAACTTTACAATTTCGTGAATATTCATTTTCCTTTCCCCCTCTCTTCTTTTCAGCGGACTCTCATTGCTTATCCTCAAACAACAAGGCATCACTTCCCTACAGTTCCAGTCTCTGAAGGAAATCAGCGCAGGCAACATCTACATTACCGACAACAGCAACCTGTGTTATTATCACACCATTAACTGGACAACACTCTTCAGCACCATTAACCAGAGAATAGTGATCCGAGACAACAGAAGAGCAGAAAACTGTAGTAAGTACACCACCCACAAAGTAAGCAGGAACTTCTGCTTTATATTGAGCTAAATCGTTGAAAATCACATCAGAATCGTTGCCCTTTAACTGAAAATAGAGAGATAACGATGTTTGTAGCATATTGTCTGTTTTCACATCCTGGCCAATATCTGTAAACCATATCTGCAGATTTAGATTCCATAGATCTAATAAAACCTTATTGAAATCTTAATGAGCATGCCAGACAATTCCATGGATTCCACTATGTCATTTGGGGATGGAGAACCTGGGATGTGTTTTGAGATGTGGGAAAATGCTATCTAGAAGTTTGCTGTGTTAGAAGAAAATTTATTTTACAAATGCTCTTACATACAAATATGATTTTCTGATTTTCAATATTGTTTGATACATTTGCTCCATGCTTTTTCTTCATTATTATATATAGGAAACAGTTTACATAGACAGAATTCTACATGTTTCCCATCTTAAACAAACATGCCCTGGTCATTAATAAATACACTAAACAAATATAATTCATATATATTTATAAAAAATAAACTAAAGTTTGTTTGTTTGTGAGAATAAATGAGTAGAGGATGTTTTAAAATAACAATCTTAGGAGGCAAACAGAATTTAGATCTATTGAATTAAGTAGTTGGTAACTCCATCTTGTTACAGGGCTAGTCTAAAACATCATAGAATAGCAACTTTAACAAAATGAAACTTGTGAGAAATTTGGTTGCTTTTGTTGCTAAAAATATTTTATAGAAAATGAGAGATCTATAACAA